TTGTGGTAAGGGGCAGCCATGGCAGAGGGGAAAGGGTCATAGATTAGTCAAGGCTTGTAATGTTCAATAGTCCTTAGTATGCACTAGAATTGGGAGAGTAACTGATAGTGAAGTTGTGCTTCAAATTCATCCTAAGACAGAGGTTCCCAAACTTATTTGGCCTACCACCCCTTTCCGAAAAAATTACTCAGTGTCCCACCCTGAAATCTATTTTTTTTAACCCTTTAACAGTATTTTTTAATTGTATCATTTCAAAAAATATATAAAATGTTTTTAATGATGTATCTTAAATTTAATAATTTATTGTAAATTTGTGAGGTTTTTCCTACATTGAAATTTTGATGTGCAATATTGCACATCATGCAACTTTATAGTATCACATTATAAACAAGTCATTATATGCACATATTCCTGCCAATTCATGCTAGCCTTCTGGACGATGTGCAACATGCTTGCTTGCCAACACTTGCTTGTTGAGACCTGTCAGCAGACTTGATTACTGATCAGTTATAACTTGCATTTTGTGTGCTTATTTGGAAAATAATGTAACCACTACTACTTTAACTCTGTTACACAACAGATGAAACACGGACAAATGTCTTTTTTCAAAATTTTCTCATCTCTTCTCTTCTTTCCTTATGCTTCCATCACCCCTTTATTTTTATTCAACACCCCTCAACTGTGCCCTCATCGGGCAGTATTGGCCACGTTAGGAACTTATGTGACCTAAGGCCACCTATCTGATCTAACCTATCTAAGCTCACTCTTTAGAGGAAGGGTCCCCAGCAGTGTGCATCAAGAATGTGATACTATCTGATTGTTCCAACTAAGTTTACTCCTGCTCAGCCATTCTCAAAAAGAGACACTTGGTGTTGGGCACTGGGACTTGGCAATATTTTATTCTCATATTATACACTTATCATATTCTAATTTATATTATACTTATCCATGAATATTCATCTCTTATAACCTCCTCATAAGCTCCTCAAGGACAGAGACCATGTCTTATCATATCCTCCCTGGTGCTCTCACAGTGTATTGCACAGACTATTTTCTTCGTCTATATTTAGCAAATGAATGAATCAAACTCAGTAAAACTTTTAATCAGATTTTCTTTCTCAGCTCTGTCCCAGTAGTACTATTTTCCCAGGGCACTTCTATTTAAATGGAATGCATGGGTAGCATAGCACACACTTTTTTTATGATTAATGCAAGTGTCATTCCTTTTCACTATAATTTACTAAGTAGATATTGACAAAACAGCTGGGTTTTCTAGACAATGGAAATCTGCACACTGCCCCTGACAAAACTGCTTATTAATCTGTCTTGCACTATTGGAGCATGGGAAAGATCTTTCTTCAAGTATTTGGTATTACCAGCTCCTACAAAATAGCATCCAGTAATAAAATGAACATGATAGCAGGATGTTTAACAGTGAAGTGAACATCAACTTTGGTTATGAAGGACAGCTAATAAGCAAAATTGATATGATTTTCAACAGCAGAAGAAAATTTGACAGGCATGTTTACGGAAATTTGACTGCTATAATAATAACTTCTGAGATACTTGGGGCATGATTTTGACTCACTGTGTGGAATTTAGCAGCTCCTTCCATCAGAGCTAATACCAGATACCATACCAAGCACAATAAATAAAACTGAGAATGGGTCCCCTAAGCTGGTTTCCTGATTCTATTCACAGTCACTTTTTAATTTCTGCTTGCTTAGATATACAAGAATGACAATTTATGCTTGAGAGATATTTTAATTAAAACCCCATGATTGAATGATGTTGGATTGTTATCTGAATATAAGGGGATTCAGTTATTTACTGTATGAATTTTAACCGACACTGTGGGTCTGGTACAGTGATGTTTTTTAACGAATTATAATACAGAACTTTTGATATTCAGAGTTTGAAACATTTCTAAGTCACATAATGAAGTCAACTGAAAACAATGCCTGCATTTTAAAAAGTCAGAAAGACATTAAATAATTTTGCCCCTTAGAAGCATAGTCTTAGAGCTTCAGGAATAACAGGACATAATAGAGTGCTAGACCTAGCATTAAGACATCTAAGTTTAAATCCCACCTCAGACACTTCTCATCTGTGTGACCCTAGACATGTCATTATCCTTCTTATATACCATGTCATTATACCTCAGTTTCTTTATTTGTAAAATCAGGATAATAGATATAGATAGACAGACAGACAGACAGACAGATAGACAGACAGACAGACAGACAGACAGACAGACAGATAGATAGATAGATAGATAGCACATTAAGCAGATACTATATGCCAGATACTGTGCTAAGTGCTAGAGATACAAAACCAAATAAAAAAGAGAGTTTCTACTCTCAAAAAGCTTACATTAAATAAGACAAGATAAAACAGAAACGGGAGCTGGAAAAATAAGGAGAGATAGAATAGAAAGTGGGTATGGTAGCCAGTGTAGAGGTATAGTAGACCAGAGGGTAAGCTGGAACTGAAGTGAACAGAGTGTCTAAGGCTCTTCATGATATGATGATTCTTGCCAGGACTCACAAATCAGCCAGCAGTCCTCAGAATTGAATTACAGAAAGTAGGAAAGGAATAAATAATAAATAAATAATAAATTTAAAACTAAAAAATACCTCATAGGATCATTGCAAGGATTGAATAAGTTAGTGAATGTAAAAATATTTTGCAAACCTTAAGGAAACTATGTTAATATGGGTTGTTATTGTTATTGCGATTATTATTTTTATCTGGAAGGAAGCATTGTCTAATCTAACGTCATCAATTTACAGCTGAGGAAACTGTGTGACTTAGTACAGTGACTTGCCCAAGGTCACATTGCCCAGTTTGATATATTCTTTTTTTTTAAATGCTAGTATTCAATCATCAGAGGTTTTCCCTTATTCATTTTATTTCCAAGTTATATGTCCTTTTAGAAAATTTCAATGCCTCCTCCCAACCTCTAAACTGACTGCCTGAAGAATATTTCAGGGAACAGTAACAAGTTTAAGTGGAGTGAGGTTGAAAAATTAAATATGGAAAAATCATTAATAAATTGTGATTAGATTGAGATCTTCAAAATGAGAAATTGAGCAGAAAACCTTCAATAATTCAGACTGTTAACATCTGAATATATATTTAAACAGGAAAGGAAATTAAGATTGAAAAAAGAAACATGGTATTTCTTCTTATATGATGAAATTCACTTTTGCCAGTGGTTAATGAAATGACAATGCAGCTGTATTTAAACAGCAAAAGCTAGGATAACATTATCATTTCTCCTTTGTTTTACAGAGAAAGATACTATGAGTTCAAGAATAATCGTAGTCCTAGTTTCCCATGGTTTTTCTGTGACATTTTTAAACCTCAGGTAAGAAAACCAATCCCTGGCTCCCCAGACCCATATCTTAGAAAGTATTTATTAGTCCTTTACACTTTCTGGTCTCACAGCTACCCAGCATAGACTCTGAGTGCTCTTTGGGACACTGGGTGCCTCACTTGAATGCTACGGACACTACCTGAAAAGGATGAGTTCATCCATCCATCTAAAAAATATGTCTTCTTTACACAATGAAAATTTAGTGAAGTTCATTTAATGTCAAAGTAACCAGTACTCGGGAGGACAGGGTTATTATCAGTGACTTCAAAGAGCCATAAAGATCATCTGGGCCCTCTTGGTACAACTTGCTCACCTGATCACCACTAATCTATAGTTTCTGTTCTTGATGCAGAATAAAGCGGAAAGACTTTAGAGCTCTGATCAAAAGCCATAACTCCAGAGGACCAAAAATGAAAAATACTGCCCACCTGATACAGAAGTGATAAACTAATAAGCAAAATGAAGTATAGTCTCAGACACAGCAAAAAGAGAATTTGCTTTGATTGACTATGCTTATTTGTTGGAAAGATTTTGTTTTTCTTTTTTACTTTTTCTGGGGAAGGAGAGAGTGGAAAGGAGAAAATAAATAAATAAATGGATAAAAAAATGATAAATGGGATTAGATAAATACTTGATAATGCAAAAAATCATCTATATTCCTTTTATTGAATGATCTGCTAAATCAGAACAGTGGATGGCTCCTCCCAACAAAGCCAATATTGTCAATAAGCCAAACCAACATTATACTGAGGTCAGCAGACATAAATGGAATATGTCCACCCAGGAGATGGTCCAAACCAATTAATTCATTTTGGGAGTAACACCTAGTGAGTGACACTTAATCAGATGTCCTCCCAACAAGATTCCAATGAGCATGAAAACATCTTCTATAGGGAGATGTTTTCAAAAGTCCAAGACAAAAGTTTACTGCCCTGTAAGCTCATCAAGTTGACTGAGGAATTCCAATATCAAAATCCCCTATATGCACAATGAGGAGTTTGGACATAACTTCTAAAGGAATATTTTCTAAGGTCCATAACATCTCTAATTCTGTATCTTACATGCAAATTCATGGGGCAAACCACCTCCCCACAACATATCCTCATAGATATTTATAATGCTGAATTTGTCTTCACCTAGCAACCCTCCTCAACATCCAAGGATCTTCAATCCTATGAGGGTTTTTCCAGATCCAACAAGTGTACCTATTTACCAATTATTTGAAAAGGAGAGGCTTTCTAGAAATTAACCAAGACTCACACACCCAAAAATGATCAAGAAATACTATTTCTTTATCAGTGATGATGTATCTAGACTCCAGAAGTTAGGCACAATGGGGGCAAATGCTTTCAATATCACAGTAGGAGAAATCCTGTCTCAGACCATCCCTGGCCTGTGCTAGTTATAGTCCTGCAAATGCCTTCCCCTCACCATCCTTGAAATTCATTTTCATTGAATGAAATTAGATGAGCTAGAAATTTTCACTTCCTAGAAAACAAGATAACTCTTAAGACCTGGCATCACTAAAGCACACTACCAAAAGTAATTATTTTCATTTAGGACATGAACCTTGCTGCAGTACTAAGAAATTCCTGATGATCCAGTATAAAATAGACCTTACACTCTTCATAGAGGTCCAGCAGGAGCAGTATTCATATGCTCAGGTGGAAGTATGTTTGGCCACTTCTCCAAGCCCAGATGGCCTTCTACACCTGCTCTCCTGCTGCCTCTGTGTGCCAGATGGGAACATCCGTGCCCAAATATCATGTCTCATCATTATGTTCTGGCACTCTGGCTTGTCCAAGATGCTATGTGCCACCATCCTGGATTTGGGAGGTCATGACCCAAAATCAAAGGGTATGTATGCTACTAAATAGAAACTGCTGAGCTTTGTAACAGAGCCAGATTCTAGATTATGAGGTCTGATGTCCTACTACAGCCATCTCTGATTATACCGCAGTAACCAGGATCATAGAAATTCTAACCATTATGACTGAGTTCTCCATATCTTAGGCCTACAATGTTATATGCTATGCCAATCAATCAACAAGTTTTTACTGTAATAAATTCTGGCAATACAATCCCCCCCAAAATGTCCCCCCATCTGTCTTCTGATTTATAGAAGACAGGTATTACTTTGGAGAGAGGGAAAAGGGTACTGTTAGTTTTACAGATGAACTAAGTGCTCTGGTCACAAGTGTTCTTGGTTAGGCATTCTAGAAATACAGAAATTGCCCATCATTGACATCTAAGTGTTAGTGATAGTTAAAATGCCCAAAGTCCCTACATAGATGGAAGTCTTGTTCTAGAAAAAGCAAGGAGGCAAGTATCACTGAATATGATTTCTCCACATTACCAGAGGAAATGCCATTGACTTCCCATCCCCATCCCAGACTGAAGCCACCACCTGCCCAGCACCTGTTCCTACAATCATCATTCACCTCCACCCCACCTGTTTGTTATCAAGCCACTTAGCAGTAACACCTGCTGCCTGTGGGCCATCCAGCTAATGAGACTTTTCAAGGCTAAACAGAAAAGTAGATTATTAATACTTGCATGTATGCCCTGGGGAGATACCTCATATTCTACAACTGGAAAGTGAGCTCACTGCATGTGCAGCTTTGGAAACTAAAACAGCTTTCAGAAGCATATCCTTGGACTAGATACATGCAATAAAAGAGGAAAGGACTGAGGAAAAGATGCATTTTCCCATATTTCTATGGCCCCCAAATGCAGATGCTGATTACAGCAGAGCAGATATTTCTGGGAGCAAGAAAAGAAGCCAAGTTAACAGGGATTGGGAAGTCTTGGCACCCATCTGGAGCACAGTGGGAAGAGATGGGCCTCTCAGTCCCAAGCCAGAGTTCTAGAGCCAAGCTGTGGCCCTGTAGCTGCGGTATGCAAAAGTGCTTAGAGGGATGCACGTGTTGCTTGCCACCAAAGTCCCAGTTTCAGGTTTATTGCTGGTATTTCCCCTTTTTGAGTGGCAGATTTGTATATGTGGAGAAGGATTGGACATCTTGAGACAGGTAAAGAAAGCAAGCCCAGTCCATTTCTAACTGGATATTGAAGGAGAGTACCATTTCTATACTTGACGTGTTTTAATAAGTTTGTTTTATGTTCAAATGTTTATTAGGAGCTCATTGATTGCAAGAAAGAAGGGAGAATTAGTAACAAGCCGAATTCAGATGAAGGAAGAGTAAAAGAGGGAGTTGGATAGACAGAGACAGATAGAACAACAGACACAGAGACTTTAAGACAAAGATAGGTGCTCTGGATAGGGAGAAACTCTAACCATACTGATAATAATAGCTAATAATAATAATATATTAAAATATGTTATAATTATAATAATTATAATTATAACAATAGCTAATAATAATAGCTAACATTTATGTAGCTCATACTATGTTCTAAACTCTACAATTATTATCTCATCTGATCCTCACAACAATCTTGGGAGCTAAGTGCTATTATTATCTCCATTTTATAGACAAGAAAACTCAGAATAAATGACTCTTCCAGGGTCACACAGCTAGGAAGTGTCTGAATCTGGTTCTGTACTCAGGTTTTTCTGACTCTGGGTCCAGCAATCTATCCACTGTACCACTTTGCTGAAAATCTCTCCAAGCATGAAACTGCCAAGAGTAGAGGTTCCCTATTTGAGTTATATTAGCAGGCAAACAAATCCAATCAATTGCAAGCACTTCCCTTGCTAGGGAAAAATTTAAAAAATTAAAGGTCTGAGCCTTCAATTTGTTAGATAAGATATTTCATTTTCTTTGTATAGGTCTCCTAGCTAAAATATCCCTAAAATATTTATTTTGTTGTTATTTAATCATATCCAACTCTTCATGACACCATGGGTCGTAGCATGCCAGGTTTTCTTGGCAAAGATACTAGAGCAGTTTGCCATTTCCTTCTCCAGTGGATTAAGGCAAACAGAGGTTAAGTGACTTGCCCAGAGTCATACAACTAATAAGTGTCTAAGGCCAGATTTTAACTCCTAAAGATATCATCTTCCTGATTCCAAGCTCTGTGCTGTATCCACTGCACCACCTAGCTACCTTATGTATCCTGGTATTCTAGTCCAAAACTGAGAAGAAAACAGGAGCAGAGTCAGCATGATGCAAGAGAAAGAGGTCTGAACTTGGAGTCAGAGGGGCTGGGTTCAAATCCTTGCTCTGCCATTTACTGTTTATGTGATACTGGGCAAATCACTTAACATCTAGACTCAGTTTCCTCCTCTATAGTATAAAATGATGGTCATATACTGGATAACTTCTAAAATCCCTTCTAATTCAAAATCTACAGGCCTGTAAAGTAATATCTATTGAGTTTATTAATCTTATTCAGGTGATATTTGTTTTACTTACACATTTTCGAGGAGTTTGGGTGAATTGTTTTGACTTTGGCTAGAGTTTGGCCTAGAACATTATTCTTAACAACTCCAGGACATGGGTCTCTCCTTGACAATAAGAATTAAAATATATAGTGATTTACTTTGAGAAAATGGCAGCCCATAGAGAAATACAAAAACACTTTGTTCACCAAAAGTGAAGAAATTAATTAAATAACTTTGCATAGGGAACCTAGTTTTGCTCAATCTTAACCACCATTCACAAAAAAAAAAAATCACAGAGAAAAAAACACGCATAAAAGTGGGAAGGAAGGGGCTAGAGTACTGGAGAGGGAGAAAATACACACATATATACAAATTGTAAAGAAAGAATGTGTTTTAATACGTTTGCTTTATGTTCAAATGTTTAAAAGTAATGAAGGGTGTGACTTACATGGAAAGTGCCTTTGAATAATCTATCTAAATTAATTTACAGATTTCATGCTCTACCAATCAAACTACCTAGGGAATTTTATATAGAATCAATCAAAACAATAATGAAATTCAATGAGAAAAACAAAAGGTCTAGAATCTCAAGGGAAATAATGAGAAAAATGTGAGAGTTGATAGAGAATTACTAGACCTCAAACAATTTTATAAAGCAGTAATCTTCAAAACTAGTTGCTATTGGTTTAAAAGAAAATAGATCAGTGCAACAGACTAGATCATCAAGAAAAAGAATCTCTCAAAAACCGTACACAGAGTTTGAAAAACACAATGGCATAAATCACTAGGGGAAGGAGTCTTTTTTTTAATGAAAACTTCTGGGAATACTGGATAGTAGTTTAGTAGAAATTAAGGCTAATGAAACATCTTACTCTATATATTGCAATAAGTTCAAAACAGATATGTGATCAGGATATAAAAAAGTCACATGAAAAAGTATTAGACAAGAACAAGAAGGTAAGCCTTTCACAGCTTTGGCTAGATGGAATAATTTTAATCAAACAATGGGATCAAGAAGATCATAAAAGACAATTTTGACTAAAATGTTCAAGTTTTACAGATATGAAATTGATGAAGACAGAATAAGAGAACTTATAAAGTAGCAGAAATGTTTGTATCAAATTTCACCAATAAAGGTATGATATTCAAAATATAGAGGAAAATGCTAATATATGTATATGCATAGATATATAGATATACATTGAAGACATTCATTATTAAATAAGTGGTCAGTAGATTATGAACAAAGAAAAACTAGAAAATCAGCCATTTTTTAAAATTAAATACCAAAATAAAAATTCTGGAAATCAAAGAAAAATATTATATTAACAAAATTAACAAAATTAAAAGAAAAAAACTGAATAAAACTACTAGTTGTCATTTAAAAAAACAAATAAGAAAACTAATTTTATTTTTAAAAGAGAAAAATAAAACTACCTATATCAAAAACAAAAAAGGAATTAACAACAAATGAAAAAAATTAATGATACTAAACTAACTAGTTTGCCCAACTGTATGCTACAAAAAAGACAAATAAAATAAATGAATATATACAAAAATATAAAATAACCAGCTTAACAGACAAAGAAAGAGAAAGCTTGAACAGTCCAATCTCAGAGTAAGAAATTGCACAGACCATTAATGAATTCTCAAAGGAAAAAAAAAATACTCCAGGACCAAAAGAATTCAAAAATAAATTCTATCAAACATTCAAAGAACAATTAATCCTATTACATAAACTATTTGTAAAAATAACAAAAGGGCTCTTGCCAAACGCCTTCTATGATGCCAATATAATTTTAATACATAAACCAGGGAGAGTCAAAATTGGAAAAGAAAACTGCAAACCATTATCCTTAATAAATTTAAGTCCAATAAACTTCAATAAAATATTGGCAAAGAGGTTAAAACAACATACACAAAGATGATACACTATGATTAGTTTGGAATTGTGTCAGTTATGCAGGGTAGGTTTAATAGGAAAGCTATAAACAATCATATTGATAGCAAAAATCATGTCATATCAATAAAGTAAGAGATTATTGATAGAGCAGTTTCAGTTAAGTGATGAAGTTGGAAGCTAGATTGCAAAGAAATGAGAAATGATAGGAAAGGAAGTAGGTAGCAAGAGTAGACAGCTTTTTCTAGCTTGTCTAGGAAAGACAGAAGAGATAACAAATAATGTTTCAAGGAAATAGTACAGTTTATCAAAAGGTTTTTAAGGGTGGGCACACCTAACCATGTTTATGAGAAGCTCAGGAAGGAGCCAATAGAAATGAAGAGATGGAAAATTAAAGAAAGGAGACAATCATAAGGGCAATCTTTATGAGAATACATTTTTGGATATGGCTAATGTGAGAATTTACTTTCCTTACCTATGTATGTTTGTTACAAGGATTTTTTTTATTTTTTCTTTCTTTCTTTTCTTCTTTAATAAAGAGCTGGAGAAGTGGGAGAGAGAGAAAACAAATATTTGTTAAATTGTAAAAAAAAAAGTAATCAAATTACATTTTATAAAGAGAAAAGTTTC